GGACAGTGATTGAGCCACTGTTGCTGAACCGGTTATAGGTACATGCCTTGCTATGGAGTGTTTTCTACTTTGGCATACAGTCAAGACTATTTGGTGACAAATACCATTAACATGAAATTGACTGAAGTGAACGTTGCACACTCCAAAGCAACGACCACTGGGGCATTTGCACCAATGAACCCAACCGTGACATTGTAGTGTGTGCAATTACCACCATTCATTGTTGCCAGTGGTGCATATCATGCATGCAGCTGGTTTATGAACCTGAGGGAGCAGCAGTAAGCTTATTTCAATTACTGCTGCAGCAGAGGATATACTGATATTGAGTGTATGTTTGCGGAAAGGACTGATGTTGAGGAAAAGGTGCCTGCTTTTCTGCACGCATGATTTCTCACAGCATCCAAGGTGCCTGCACTGACTGAGATTGCTTGCAGCACTAGGGCGTTCTTACCACAAGATGCAAAATATTCACAGCGCGCAATTGCTACTTGGGATGTTATGGGCCAACAAGACGAGTGGATGTTAAATGACTCTGCTCTGCTGTTCTTCACTTTGGAATTATGTAATCTACAGTGTTGTCGCTGTTTTGAACGGTAGATTTTTTTTTCCCTTTTGTAGTTGGCATTACATTTTGGTGGAGAAATCTGTCCATGGTTTTTATAACCACAAAGGTATGCATGAACACAATCGCACATGGAACTGCAAATGGCCCCATAGAAAAAATGTTCTTGTCTTGGTTTAATTCTCTGCTTTCCCCCTTTCTTGACAAAAATATCTACAAGCAGGTAGATGACTGACAGGACCTTCCTCAAACAGGACAAGCAGAAAGGCTGATGTGGAGCACAAACCTTATAATTCATACATTTAAAAAAAGCTGCTAAGAAACCTCTCCTCTTTGGGTTACCCCAGTACAGCCTTGTAGGCAAAAGCATAATTTAAGGCCACTTTCTGTGAGGCCATGGAAAGTTGAAGCAGTCCATGACATGCACACCTTCTCTATTTTGATTGCATACACAAACTGTGGGAACACGCAGGTCACCCCAAGAGGTGTTCAGAGAGGTGGCCAGAGAGCGAGATGCCAATTTTACTTCCATCACATCATCCCCCTCTGCTTCTTCATTCAGTGTCAGAGTTAAATGGATTGCATTTTCTTTCAGTCCATGTGGGTCTACTGAATTTTACAAAGTGGATGCCCACCAGCTTTTCATAGAATATTCTACTGTCAGTGTAAGCCCATATATTATATGAGCCAATGCACTTATGAAAGCCAGTTGTAAACTGCACTGCATTGTTGTCCTTAGTAGCACAAGTGTGCACATTTTAACTCAGATACGCCGCTAATGTCGAGACTCCTTAATAAGTAAAATCCTTTAATCCCAAAAGAATTTTATCCCCATGACTAAGCAATATACTTTACCAGACTTGAGCTTTTCTCTGGCAAGCTTTCCGCAGCCAAGAAGGATGGAGGCAGATGGCACAGCAGTAGCGCAAGGCTGTAGTCAAGTGTGACAAGGAGCAGCACAACATTGTGTAAGTGTACATCATACATTTATTACTGAACAACCCTCTCAACTCCAAAATTGGGCACAGGGATTAAAAATAAAAATTCATTGCACTACTTAGTAAAGCATCACTAGTAACTCTCATAAAAAATGTACAAATTTTGTTAAAAATTTATCAAGCCTTCAAATGATTTGGTTACAGATATTGATAATACATTTCAAACTACATGTTAAATGACACAACTGAGTATGATTTGAAAGCAAACACTTGACAAATATGATTCTAACAAAAGCAATATGCATTCATAAACAATTGCAAATCTGCAACACAAAATTGCAAAATGAGGTAACTGAAGATACCAAAGGAGGCAGAGGGTGAGAGAGAACCTGAGTCCTCTTGATAGGCCCACCAGTAACCACATTGGTGATGAGTTTGAGTAAAACAAAGTAAGAGCTGGTAAATCCCAAATAATATGAGAGGCGGAAATGTTGACAGCTGTGACAAATATCACATTCTGAAGACTGTACAAAAACCTCTATACAAATTACTTTGCACAAAATAATTGTAAAGAAAGCACAAAGTGAGACTTTAGAGATAGCCATAAGGCCCCATACCCATTTTCAAAAAAGGCCAGGAGAAGGTCAGATTATGTTGACAACACATGCAAAGAAAACCCAAGCAGTGCCAACATGGTAAAGCCAACATTTTAATATTTCCTTCAGTGGGAGAGGTAGGGATAAGAGTATGTGGGGGAGGGGGGAAGGCTACCCAGTGTAATTTGATGCTGTCAAGCACCAAGGAGAACTGTGGAGTTGGATGCACAAATACGTGTAACACAGTTCATGGCTGAGTATGAATTCCCTTCTCTTCTGCCAGCAAGAACAGGTTAAGCATTCTACTTCAGCCAGCCCATGCTGGTTCAGAACACATGCACGTGTGGTCTCAAACCGCAAGAAGCAAATCTGCACACATTTGCAAGAGTCCCATGCAAACAGAAGCCGTTCCAAGAGATCAGCCACAAGAGTGCAAAAATTACCATGGTCTTCCCTACTGCAGCCCTATCCCTCTGTCTACAGCCTTGGCTCAATTGAAACTAGAATTAAGGGTCAAAGACTGCACTGCAATATGGATCCCAGTTCAGGGCCCAGGAGTGGCTTCTCCAATTAGGTAACATGTAACCTGTCATTCTGATCAAGAAAGTGCCTCGTATCTATGCTTTGACAGTAGACACTGAGTGGGGTGGTGTTATGAATAGAGTTATCTAGGTAAAAAAACATGTTTTTTTGTTCAGCAATATAAAAAAGACCCAACGTACTGTAAAATATGTCTGATTTCCCCCCCACTTCCCAACCCATGATTTTGTTTGTCTAAAAAATAATAATAGTTTATTATGTGCAATTGAACCTTTTTTGATATGTTGAGACATTTTCTTAGAGGAAATTGAAGATAAAAATGGTAACACCTGTTAATCTGACACATACAGTATGTAAAACTGCTTTAAGTTCATTGACACTATGGCCAGAGGTTTATAGAGGCAAAGAGTATCTGAAACAGAGTAGGGTGGAAAAGATGAGAATTGTGCTTTTTCATTTTGCAGAATTACACACTTTGATTGGTCAGCATGGACTTCAGAAAGAAGGACGATTTCCAACCATTGCTGTGATGGAGGAATAAACAGATTTAACATATAGCAGCATACAAAACCATCAGAGAGACACCCAAGGAACTTTAAGCCAGCTGGTAGTAACGATATTGCTCGCTGTGGTGTTTGCACTGTTGCAACTGAAAGTTCTGGTATTTAAAACATGAGAAAAATGGAAGAATTTACAACCAAATGCGCATCTCTTGAACAACGGTAGCTGTGTCTAAACATGGTATATATAAAGCAAGCTTTAAAAGTTGAGTCTTAAATCTAAGTGATAGCCATTTATTTTCTCAATGCATTATTTAGAAGGCAGTGGACAGGAGATCAACTCCCAACTTCATACATTAGTATTTTGCCATTGATTTGATGTATCAGCCCATTGTTGCCCTGGACTCTTCTTCACACTAGCCATAGGTCACCAAGGGTGCCTCAGCATTATAAAAATGCCTGCCACCAAACAAGCACAATGAACTGTATAGGACCCTCCCATGTATTTTTATTAACTTGCTACAACAGCTAGGGTGGGAGAAGCCCATCTCTTCTACCCCTAAAAAAGTGCAAGGAAATTCATTTTGCTCACCAAGTTTGAAAGGTTTTAAAAAGAAAAGGTTTCCTTTCTTTAAAGTTCACTGTATATGTGTACATGTGTATGGCAAGAAATGGAAGCAAGTACTAGCTTCTGTACACTAAACTGTATATTTAATTGCTGAAAATATAAGAAACATTGGCACAAGATAAGGGGACAGGGGAACTTCAGAATTTCAGATAAAAATACAATGTCAATGAATGACAGAAAAGACCCAATAGTGGATGGAAAGAAGGGAGGGGGGATGGACATATATTTTCAATCATGAGTGAACATTTTTAATATTGCTACCTGACTCTGTAATGCTGCATCTCCTGCAGCCTAAAACAGTAGTTCTCGACCTTTTCAGACCTGGGATCAACCTTTAATCTGAATATACATTTAAGGACCCACTTGCTATTTATTTATACAGTGCTATTACGGCCTGCCTTAGGTCTAGCTGTAACCAAGTAGTGGTTCCTGACCCATCAGTTGCAGATCAACGGCCTAAAAATAAGGCTTATTGTAGTAACAGGGGAATCAGTATGCTCTATAATGGCAGATATAATATCTCCAATTAATAGGAAGCATAATAGCTGTTTGAATAAAAGCAAAAAGCATTTATACTGTTAAGTACAAAGTGTGTGGGGGGGGGGATGAAGTGTTTATCATTGCTGCACCCTTAGCATTCAGTGTGAAAGAAAGAAACCAGTGTACAGTACTCATACTGTTTAAATAACACACAAGATTATACATTGCAGCATAAGTCATACTACACACATACGTCCTCAGTACATGCTGGTAGGTAAGTCCTCTCGCACACCCATCCAAACATTTGCTCACCTGCACACACCCAGGAACCCTGCGGTCAACGCAGCCACCCATGCCATTTATACTCACTCACAGTATTTGAAGGCTCTATATAAGGTAGATTGCTATATTGTTTGGAGCTACCACATTTCTTTTCTTTTTTAAATATAAAAGCACATGCTAGAAGATCACATTCCACTGTAATCTCGCAGCAACACTCGGAATGATCACACAAAAACCAGGGAATGTTAGTGCACACATGAAATTAAGCAAAAAGAAAAAAAAAGTCTTTGGAGTTCCAATCACACAGTTAGTATAACAATCCCATAATTGTGAAGACTAATAAGCTTTATAGTTGATTAAATCACACAGTGCAAAGGAAGGTCCGCTGACCCTTTTGTGTAAAGGGGAGGCTGGAAGCCACACGGGTTAAGTTCAATGCAGAGTTCATATATATAAATATATATACACACGCACACGCACGTGACTAGGAACACCCAAAGTAGAATTGTGCTCTTAGACTGGTCATTCTGAATCACGATGCACTTCTGAAGCATCGGCTCTGCAAATAGGGCAGGTACGATTTGCCTGAAATATAAAAAATAAAATAAAAATTGAATTGCCAGAGCAATGCTCATACAGGGTCACATACAAAACAGTGTAGAAAAAGAATGGAGTTAGGTTTTTTTAAAAAAGGTCAGAACCACATGTCCCGAAATAACAAAGCAAGATGTAGAGGGAAAACTCTTGTCAAGTTCCAAGAGAGTTTCAGAAAAAAGATCCACTGGACTTTAGCTTGACATCCAAACTTCCAAAAAGTTAGCTATGCTTTTCTTTTTGTCTTTACTTTAGGAGTGACTAAGGGAGAAAGTTTAATATATACAATTTACTTATTAACAAAAATAGAGCTTGTAAACTGTCATTCATGAGTTATAATTTTAATAAAAATTGTTGTGATGATAATTGTTGAGATTTAAAATTAATTCAAAAGGAATTAAAAGTTAGTACTAAGAATTATAAATTACAACTATTGCTCTACGAGTTTCAATTATTAACAAATAAATGAGTGTAGAAGAGATAACAATTACTAAATTTTTGTGCTTGATATTGTATGTAATATTTGTGTATCCCTTGGTACCCTCTCTCCCTCCCTCTCTGTATTCTAATTTTTTATGGAAAAAAAAAGAGAAATGACTAAGGGTCTTATGGGTTGCATCCATGATGATCATAAGCCTCAGAAGTCAGATGGAGGGCCTAAGAGAGGCAGAGATTATCTTCACCTCCCTGTCCTTCACTTTTCATTACATGGGCTACTCTGCCCCTCTAGCAAAGGCACCATGGAGTGGGAGGGAAGGAAGCTGGGGAGAGAGAAGACCCGGCCTCTCCAGTCTTCAGCCCTTGCTGTCTACCAAAGACACCTCCCTTCTCTCCCTCTGTGAGGCTGCATTCCCGCCTCGCAGGCTAGTCAGTGCATTCTCTCTGTGCTGGCTGCAAGGGGGCCTGGAGGGATTCTCCACTCCAAGGCTGGCAGTGCTGACTCTGACCTCAGATCAGGGATTCTGAAATATCCTGCAGTTGCGCAGGCATTGTCCAGTAATCACAGGACAATTCCTTAAGCCAATATTTATTTCAATGCTTTCTTAATGATGAACAGCGGGCATTACTTTCTACACCAGCCTAAAGTGAACAAGACTCATGGCAAACTGTAGCCTCCAAGAGATATCTGGATCCATGAGAAAGCTGAATCTGCGGAAGTCATGTTTATGGATGTGACCTCTACATATGTAGCTTTCTATGGCATCAGGATGTCACTCATGGTACAGCTTTCTGCAACCATGTGTCCTCCAGACATGTTGGATTGCAGCTCCCATCATCCCCAGCCAACACGGACAAATGTATTGCCCGTGGATGATGGATGTCATAACTGAACATATCTGGAACACAATGGGTAGAGAAGGAGACACATGGTTTATACACAGGTTTCCTCATCCAGGCATCCATGCCAGCGATGCAGAACCTGCAGACCCCATCTCCAGATGAACATGCCATCTTCAGGAAAACATAAATTCAATTATTCTCAGTTGAGTCAGTGCCCATACACTAGCCAGAAGGAATGGCTGATGCACATTTCAAGTTCTGTCTATGTAGCTCTGATGTGGGTGCCCCTCTAGCTTCTGAAATTTGAAAGCAAACACTGCTGTTCTTACATTGCAGACAAATATGCAAGCCAGAACACTGGACCGGTGATTGCATTGTTTCAAGTCCTCTAGTGGTGACACTGCTGTGTAAGATACAAGTTTAAATGTCCACCTCGACATGGGAGACCTGGGACTTTTCATAGGCATAAACAGTGCAATATTATAGTTAATTTTCTTGCAACATCTTCTAAAATGCTCAAATATGCATGTTGGCAAGCCCTTTAGAAAATGGTAGCTTGGATCTTCAGTTCCACAAGTTAAGTGGGAAAAATGAAAAATGGGACTCTTTCCTTTTCAGCTACTACCCTCTGCAAATATGTTCCTGAGGTTTGGGAGGACTTCTAGAACAAAATGCAACAAGGTATGAGGGAAATTCAGCAGGAAGTCATATTCTACAAATAACTGAGAACATACTTTTGTGCAAATGGGAGCACTTGGAAGCTAAGACCAAGTGCCAATGGCTTCCATGTCAGTATGTGGAGTTGACACTGGAGAAGCCACTGTGGAATACTAGTCAGTATAATTATGTTTCTCTATTAGTAGTTCTTTTCTGTGCTACACAGAAAGAAGTGGTTCCATCCAGTAGTAATATTTAAGAATGCAGAAAATTCACAAAATTGGCACATGCATATGACCTATAGATACCCAAGTTTAATAGTCTTCACATTAGCAGAGCCAGCAGTTTTGATATTTTAGGTTTTAGTGTACCACTGCAATGACACAGTGGAATTCAGAACATTCTCTGTAGTTCACAATTAATCTCCTACTTCAATATACTTTGATCTTTTGCATCTGATGAACTCTGTTGTTTGGTCATGACACTACTTGTTCCTACAGGCTCCTTCTTAAAACAAATTTGGTTTTACATAGACAGACAGCCAGTAACATTCATGAAAATACAGACCTGGAGGAAGCTTATATCAGTACAGCCCTCCAAAGCTGCTTTTGTTTCTCAACTAAAAAGGCTCTCATCTTAAATAATGGTGAGCAGAATAATGGGCATTTCATTCATGTCTTTGCTGTAAAGGCTTCACTTATGCTGTTTTACTGAGAGATTTTGCCGCCAAAGAGGCCTTACCCAAACAGCCTGAATGCTGAGACATGATGGCATGCAATACCTCCATGAATTTAGATGGCTACAATTTCTTTCTAAAACAGAATTCTTACCTTAAGCCATTTGTCAACACACTTGGCATGGAACTCGTGGTTACATGGTAAAACTCTAAGTAGTTGCCTTGACTCAAAGTCACACATGCACACAACACACCTAAAAGAGAAATTGTGAAATACCTTATTCAATAGGAGCAACAATAATTTGACATATGTGTTTGTTTTAATGTTATTTATCTGAAGATGTAAACCTTTTGCAAAGTAGGTATTTATAAATATGAAATAACTCCAGTATATTTCTGTGCAGTTTCAATGCTAATATAGCACTGCTAGATTTCCTACTATTATTTGTATGCAACCCACAGTTCTAATGCATAGTGCAAAATTAGGTAAGACAACTCCTTAACAATGCTAACACAGAGCAAAGAAACTTCTGTAAAAATGACCCTTGTGTATACAGTCTCAGGCACTCCTAGTATTTCACATGTTATATCTCAACGATCTTTACAGCCACACAGGAATAAGCAAAAAAAAAACCTGTTTAGGGGGTGGAAATCCATTGGGATTCTTCAGTTTGGCCCCCAGATTCTGGTCTGCTTCTTGCACACTGGTGCCAACTCACTGAAGCATAAATTGAGGTAACTCATGTTCTTCCATCTGGAAAATGAACTGTGATTTGCGTTTTTTTTAACCCACCAGTGGAAATTACAGAAACTGGCAGTGAAAAAAACATCATTTTAACAGGACTAGTGGGATTTGCACAAATCTTTCCAAGTCGTGCTTTCTCTAGTGCAGTTTTGTGCAAAAATGACCCTTTTTACACAAAACAAAATCCGGAAAAGCACATGGATTAGTGAGAGTTGAAGAATTCTTGCCAACATACTTTTTATGCAAAACAGCACTGAAAAACATGTGACCCATGCAAACTGTCCATTCCCTAGGCAGTTTCAAAAAATATGCAAATTATAGAAGTTTGAGGAAAGAAACCTTCCAACCCATTTTAATGGAAGCAGGCAAGAAATCTAGTAAGCTCAGAACAACTAGATTTCCATGTTTTAGTGCATCTCTACCAGCACTTGATAAGGTGGGTGGAGTAAGAGCCAAAGAAGAGAAATGATGGCTTTCCAAAGGTCATCTAGTGAGCCACAGCTCAGGGGATATTTGATCAATGGATTTCTCATCAGAATTTGTATTTACAGATGATATACCTAGCATCATACTGGCAAGGTAGGTTTCTCTGCTTCTTCCAGGAGGGATTTAAGACTGCTTGGTAATGCAGTCTAGGAATTAAAATAAGTATGTGTTTTGCTGAGAACACCCATCTGGTTATAGAATGGAAGGAGAAGCAATCTTTCAGCTACTGAAGAAGGGGAAGGAGCTGTCTTTTGGGCCGACACCCAGTTCTCATATTTTAGCAATAGTAAAGCCAAAAGATGATCTGCTACATATTAATTTATTTTAACCTTTTGTAGACCATCCCCTTACTGAAGTTGCGGGACAGTTTAACAATACAAAATGTTAAAAAAAATTTAAAACACAGCATCCTAAAATTTAGCTAATAATAAAACCCCAATTAAAACATTCAGGTCGTAAAACATTGGGAAAATAAAAAGGTTGAGTGTTGTTTAAAAAGTCACCCCAAGTGGTGAGATGTGGTATTCTCCACATAGAGCAAGGCACTGTGGACTCAGGCTCACTCACTGTTAATGTGGCAAATATCAGCCCCATACACAGAATCAAAAGGGATAAAAAGCCTTGATAGTTATTTTTCACATGGAGAGTTTTTGCTTAAGTGAGAATGAGCAGACAAAAATACCTCCCAATTCCCCCTTTCTGTGTTTTACTACGAAGGCTTCATTTCAGTAAGAACCATCTATTTTTAAATATTTATTTCTTGAATACTTTGCAAGAGATTTCTGACCAGAAATGGTATCTGGAACTCTGCTGTTCTACCTGTAACATGCAAATTTATCCTTAGTTGTACAACATACTGCATTTTGAGCAGTCTTTTCCTGAACTAAAATACCAAGTTCCTGGAAAAGCTATGTTTAAGATTCAGGCGCGATTGTTAAAAAGGACATTCAGAACTGAAGTTAAACACACATGTCTCTTACCCTCCAAGTTAACATCTATACGAGGTCCTTTCTCAAAAGCCATGTGATCCTATCTAAGAGTTTGCTAGGCTGGATTCCAGTTCATCAGGGTAAAGTGACTTCACAGTAACTCCTCAGTAAGGGGAAGTAGTACTTACAAAGTCTGTTCTGACTGGTGGTTGTTTGGGTTGAACCTGTAGGATGGAAGTTGCTCAATATCTGCTTTTATCAGTCCTCTTGGTTTGGCCTCTCCCAGTCTCTCTGCCAAGTTTAACAGTGCCTACAAGAAAAATCCACCTTTTAAAACCCACCCAATTAAACTTAAATTACTTCTTTACATATCACATTGGGCTTTTCAACACAGAGCATGTATTATTCTGTTAACTGCTGTATTAACTTCTGCTTTTGCTACAGCACTGAGATCTAAGTTCTACCCAAAGAGCTCTTCCTTCCCTGCTTTTCTTTTATACAACTCTAGATGGAGTGGTGCAGTAGAGGATCAGTACAAATACACCAAGAAATAGTGCCATTTCCCTAGTTCTAAAAAATCCCAAAAAGATAGAAGTGACATTGCAAGATCACAACAGTGTCTAAAGAGCCCAAAAAAACCCATAAGAAAGCATGAGTGCACCTTTACCTAGTGACAACTGTTTGTACCCTAATTAATTAGAGATGACCAGCAAGCCAGAATGCTGCATTAGCTGTTCTGGAACATGATTTGAACTGTCCACAAGTACATACAGGAATGATAACAAGACCCTGCATAAAGCAATTCTAAGTAATAAAAATTTTAGAACTCCCTTAGCATAACGATATTGGATGAAGCAACTAATTTTTGTTTAATTGCATTCAGCAATTCTAAGCAATAAATAAAATCCTAGAATTCCCTTAACATGTCTATACTGGTGGAAGCAACTAATTTTTATCTTTAAAGTTGCTGCTTATAAGTTCAGCAGTCGTCAACCTGTTATCTAGTGACCACTGTTTGTACCAACTGCTCTTTGCAAGGAAGGCAACTGATCTTTGCTGAGAGGGTTGGAGGGAAGAGGGGAAGGGAGACCAAAGGATGTGTTGTGCTGGGCTCCAAGAGGTCAGGGAGGATAATCGCTTGAAATTATTTTGGGTACAATCATTCCATGCAGATTTGGGGTCCTACCTTCACACTTGCAGCCCTGCACAACTCAGAGCTTGCAGTTTAGGAGCACCCTGGCCTCGATCCTTGGAAGAGGGGTTTGTGGAGTTACTAGGAGGAAGGGTGGGGGGAAAGATCAATGTTGAGAGCTGCCATTCACTCACACAACCTTTGAGGATAATTTCAACCAATTCAGGATATATATTTCAAAATCTAAAAACTGAAGCAAGTCTCATAGACATGTTTATATAGCCTTAACCAACCTCATAGTTTTCTACTTCACCATCTTCTACATCCAGCTCAAAACTGAAGGCAGGGCCAACTGCAGGGGGAACTGGAAGCATCGATCTGTTGAGAGAACAGCAGCCAAGTTTAGTACTAGCCAAAGGGCTTGCAGGCTTTTAAACCTAATCAAAAATTAGGATTTAATTCTGATTCAGTACAAAGTCAGGCAATTCATTACCGTACAAGTCTACACTACATTTAGCTTCCTTGCCACTTTACATATTAATTGCATTCAGAGAAGATGATCATTCTCACTCAAGGAAACACTAACCCACAGAGGGAACTTTTCTCCATGTCAGTGCCATGCACAATGGTGACTATTTATGGGTTGAGTGTGAGTAGATGAAGTGTGGATTATTGAGCTGTCTGAACCCAGTTAACCAGAAACAACCAATGAAGAGAACTCTTGGTTTGGGTTGTGAACTGTGCACTGTCCATCAGGGTTTGCTGACTCCAGACAACACATGGTTCAACGACAATGCACATTCAACTCACACTCAACCACTGAGTGTAGATTGTCATGTTGTCTGAATCCCATTAGTATATTAGATGTTTCTGCTTCCAGCAATTTAAGTTAGGCATTGTTATATATACCCAACTTTAGAATTGAGAATTTGGGGGAGGGGGGGGGGTAAACTTTAATTCTTATGTATTTGATGTATTCCCCACTTTTCCACTGGTTTCCTAAGGTAGCTTGTGAAATAGCTGTAATTGAAGTAAAATAATGTGTTTTTTTTATGTTTTTAACACAAACACAGCAATGCAATGCTGCAAAAATATACATGACAGCAAACTGGAAGAAAACTGTTGCTCCATGATATGGCAGAAAATGGAACATTTCAATCTAGTTGAAATTAACTTATAAACTACTCCAGCTAGCCATGTTTTGCAGTAATATTAAGAAACCTCCCCTGTGGCTCAGCACTGTAACACTGATGAGATATGGATCCTAAAAGAGCATTTGCACTTAACTCCAAATGACAGTGCTTGACACCTCCCCTAAACCCCTTTATATCAGAGCAGCATCTGCCATTTTGGGGGCAGCTGTATGCCATCTTCAAGCCAGGGGAGAAGCTTGGTGGGACTGGGACTTGGGAGGCCTGTGTTCTAGTCCCCTCTCAGCCATGGAGCTCACTAGGTGACCCTGGGCCAGTCACAGACTCTCAGCCCAGCCCACCTTGAGTTCCTTGGAAGGGAAAAAGGTGCAATATAAATATAATAAATAAAAATAAGGCAAAATAGACTTACAGCACATATGGTAATAGGCTGGAATGGTAAGGGGGTGGTGGTATTGGCTGCTGAGATCGAAATCGGTTGCGTCCAGTGAGTCTTCGTGGCATAAATGGTGGATAAGGCTAAAGGAACCAAGAGGGAAATGTTTTAGTCATTCTAATAATGACTAAAAAAGAGCCCTAGAGTTTTCAGCACAGTACCCTTCAGCGCTGTAATTCAGGTTCTGAGCTGCAAAATGGATGAAATGAGGGGATGAAATTCCCCTCTTTGCTCAAGGCATTCTTGACATCTTCTGCAGAGTGGGAAGCATGCATAGGTAATGTTCAGCTCATGTCCTTCCAGCCTTGCAGGTCAGCTAGATGGCCACGCAGCTGTGCTCCTCTGGGCAAGGAAGGGAAGAGGCCAGAGTTCTAGCAGGCTGCCTCGTACCCTGGAGGATCAGTCTCCTTTTCTCCCCCTGCCAAATTGCCCTTTGTCCCTTTTCCAAGGTCAGAGAAGCATCCAACACAGTTCTGTCTGCACCTGCTGGAAGGAGGGGAAGGGGATCAGAGTTAATCTTGAAACCCAAAGAATCCCTCGGCCCCTAAGACACAGGCTAGGGGGAACCCTCAAGTCTCTTGGATAAACAACTCCTATTTCCCTTAAATATACAACTAATTTTCACATGTGAAAGCATTTTCACAGCTGTACTTTTTGCTGTACTTAATTCCAATTACCTTAGGGGTTTTTTTTTTTAAAAATCAGATTTAGAATGCGCTTTACAAGATGAATCATGACAAAGTGGTGGAAACTGCCACTTACTACTCCAAAGGACACCTCTTGATGTAATGGGTCATGTGTTAAGAACTGGAGTGGGGCTGAGGGAGGCAATGTTGGTGGATGAGCTGATGGTGGATACGTAAAGCCTCCAACGGGTAGATGGTCTCCAAGCAACTCTACTTCATTTTCTATCCTTTGGAGAGGCTAAAGAGAAAACAAAACACAGGCTATATGTAACCCTTTAAAGACATATTTTGCCAGTTTTTGCCAAAAATAGTTATTTGTTAAACTTACTGAACATATGTATAATATAAACATGTTTATGATATCTTATGGCCAGATTTTTTAAAACCGAAGAGAGATAAATGTGTTAGAAAAGATGTTTTATATGTTGCCTGAAATAAACATTTCCCTTAAAGAAACTCATTCTGATTCTGAATACATATGGTAATTCAGTGTTCACTGCTTGTTTCAGTAAAAATGCATTATTTCACATTCTGTGATGCAATTCTCCCCCAGTTTCCAGCATTTATGTTTGCAAGTGATGACAACCTGGTGTATTATGGTTTTTTTTCACACAAGGGTCTTAGTCACTGTACCTACTTCCAGTTTAATTGCAGAACTGAGATCTACACAAAGCTTTTCCTTTCCTGCTTCATAACCTCTAGGTGGCATTCTGCCACACAAGAAGAAAAATACAATTTCTTAACATTCAGAAATAATTGCTCACATTCTTCTTTTAATAAATAACAATACATTTTCTTATTAAAGCTGCCCCCCCCCCAAAAGTGTTTTTAATAACAGAAGTGAAACTGGAGAATCACATCATCATCTAAGGAAACAACCAGGATCCAAGAATTACAAGTACACAATATATACCTTTAATGAATAAATGTCTCTATGAATAAGCAATTACTTGTTAAAATAATGTTTGAGGATGTTTTGCATGTGCCTCAGAGTCCACTTTTAAATCTGGAGACCAAGAAATCATGCCTTGAGGTGAATTTAACCCACACAAAGGCAACTAGTATATAAGCAGCTGACTCAAGATTTAAGCATTTGCAATTGAACTGTGAATGCAGCCTTTCCTGCCCTGCCCGCCCTGGCCCCACTCCCCCCCCCCCACCCCAACACACAGCAGTCCTCCAGACCTTTCAAACAGCTATACAGAAGGTTCAGGAACCTAATGATTTGGATGATACATTATGTGAAGGGAAAGATCCCTGGAAATTGGGTGGAGGCACCTTCTGTGAGCAGAGTCCTTTATTCCAGAAAAGGAAAATCTTAAATGAAATCCTAGAGACCTAACATTACAAGATGATCCAAGCTATGCCTCTTTCCTCAAGCAACCAGACAGTAGGCTATCCATTTTGGGAAACCCTGCCCTGTATTCACTTTTCTTGCGATCCTTGTATACAATTACAGTCTGAAGCACTCAACTTTTCAAGGGTTAGCTGCTACTTAGCAGATCACTGTTTTGATTCCCAATGAGATGCAATATGAGATTGGTTGATAAGTAAAGTCATGTTTCACCTCTCTCCCAACTAGCATCTCAAGGGTGTTTCATCCAGTGTACTCTGGCAAAACATTTGCCTCTTTCCAAAGCTGCTGCCAAGATGCCAAATCTTGCTATGGCTCCACATCCTCTTCTTCAGTATTTCCCAAAGTCACAGTATATTGTGAGGCTGGGATAGCAGCCATGCTCACCAAACTGAAAAATAATGGCTGAGGCCAGCTTCCTGCTCACAAACATGGTCACACTGCTGATGAAGAGACAAAAAGCAAAACAGCACTGACATGGTTTCCATCTTTCTCAGGGGAAAGAGGGAGTGTAAATGTAAAAAATATTCTTGTACCTCTGGTGTCCCTCGCCATTCAACCATAACAAAAGTTCTTAAAATTTTTAAAAATAGCAATGAGCTCTTCAAAGTTCTCGGACTATGGCATCCACTTTCCTCTACAATCCATGAAATGAATTCTGCAACCTGAATACACACTTGAATATACACTTAGAGACCATGTTTCTCTTCTCTTTTTCTAGCTGAATGGAAGCTAAAGTCGTTATTTACCATACTGAAATGTCTGCTTTCACTTGCAAAAGCCCTCAAAAGTTTTGGCCAAACTCAATCAGCTCCACTTCTAGGCAGCCAAACAATGCACACTTTTTAGAATGCAATATTCTAGAACCATCTCCTCGAGGAAGTGAGGAGGTATTTCCGCAACCCTTTAAAATAATACCTACCGACCGTGACTGCTGTGCTTGAAACGGAAGAAATTGGCCTGGAGCTGCCAGATGTGGAGCATGATGTGGGGAGAGGTGTGGAGGATGCAAAAGAAATGGATCGCTAGAAAGAAGGGGTGGGAAAGCCGCATAGGGAACTGGTAGATGTTGAACGGAACATGCCTGAAGCATCTGCAAAAGAAAAGAAACATTCACAACATAAAGAATTTGGATGCTCGTAACATTCATTGGGGCATCGACACAGAACACAGCATGATAGAGGTGCATGGCAAGCACTGTGGCCACAGATTGTTGTTTCTGCCCATGGACAGGCAACTAAAACAAACATTATCCAAATATGAATTTATGCAGGCTACAAAATTCACACTTCCTTGCAGTATAATTTGCATCACGGAGGCTCAGAATTCTGCTTGTTTCCCAAAGCACTGTATTTCTCATCACATAATATCTCATGGTCTGAGTGTTGTTACTACAAAACATTTTCCACCCCCCTCCGCACCTATATTATATGGCAAATTACTGGCAGTGCAATCTTCAGACCACACCTAGGGGTCATAGGATCCTTCAGATTCTCAGATCTGAGGATAAAAGAGCTTCAACCTCAGAGCTAGATCTGCTTCCCGCTCACAGCTGGTAAAGGAAAAACTCTGCCAGCTGCTTTGATGTGTAAAGCAACATTCTAGGGTACAGGGAGGGGAGGAGAACTTAGCTGCCAGAATATGAGGTATCTTGGCAGCACAGCAGCCTCCCTTCCTCCCTGCTTGATGATCTGCAGCTAGACAGCAGTAATTATTTCTCTAGTTGACTGGAAGAGCAACTGAAGCATGGAGGCAAAGATGGCCGCTCTGCTCTTCCTGCCCAACATAGGATTCCCATCATTGTCGAAGTATGAACTGCATCCTGGGTATCTGTTTTCCTTTTTTAAAGCTAGATCACTTTGCTGTACTTGCAAAATTGTTCAGGAAGCTTTAAGTCTGAAGTACAAGGCTGTTTTCTTTCTAGATTTTATTTCCAAGTAGATGCAATCTTTTATCAAAAGCATCCTAAACTCTAGTCAAATTGTAACACATTTAAATTTAAGAATATTAATTTCAGTACTGTGAGAATAAACCTGTAATCATAATAAAGTAAATAAATCAAATGTAAACCTCAAAAATACAAAAACTTAAACTATATTAAGTTGTATCCAAAATTATATATAGGATCATATTTTCCTGCATTTTGGTTATTCCAAAGCAAATAAACAAATCCTATTTTTCTATTAAACATTTTCCTTTTATTTCTCCTGCCTATGTTAGTTAATTTAACACCGTAAAGGGCAGGAAATAAAAACTGTAAATAAATCAATTAAATATATCATGTCCTGTAAACTTTTAATACAGTAATCAAAATATGGAGGGCCAGACTTGTGATAAAATTAAAAGATTTTGGAAGTTGATATATGCAGAAGCACAAAACTAAAATAAAATTAGCTTTCCTTTGAATCCTAAGAAAATGCTTTGAATATAATACGAGAGACTTTTTCAAAGAATATGTCAGGGTTATTTAAATATATGGCAACTGCAGCAAGAATTACAATTGCTTCTAAATGGAAAACAACAGAATGTCCAACAATTGAAGACTGGAAAAATAAGTTGGCTGAGTATGTGGTGATGGCAATATTAACTAATTATGTAAACCATAGACCAATTGAAGAATTTTATTTTATTTATTTATTTATTTAAAACATTTCTATGCCGCCCCCATCGCAACAAAGCCTCGGGGCGGCTCACAAAAAATACACAAAAACATACATAAACAATAACAATATAACAATTTAAAAGAAAAAAAACATTTAACCCCCCCCCCCGGTGCATTCTTGGCTAATTTTAAAATCCTAATAAATACAATAATTTAGCAATTAAAATAAGTTTTAAATAAAAAGGTCTTAGCCTGGCGCTGAAAAACAAATAATGACGGCACCAGGCTGACCTCTCTGGGGATATTAATTTAATATCATTTAAATGATAAATGGAAATTCTATTATATGCAGTTGGATTAATATAGAACAAAAGGAAGCTCATAAAATATTGTTGATGATTTATAATTAATTCAAAGTGATTGGAAAATTTGTTGGTTTAGAGAACTATGTATTTTTGCAACAACAAGTACTAACTGACAGAAAGATAGAAATTTCTGTCTTGGGAATTTGCAAGTTATGAATGTGTATGTTATATTCATGTAAGATTCCTTGGCATTCTTACTTACATTTTTCTTTCTTTCTGTACTTCATTTCTTTTCAGAAAAAAAATAAATAAAAAAGACGGAGGATTAAGTTTCCTTCCAATCATAAGCAATAGCCCTAGGAGTTGTTGCTGATGCATGTCCAGCTACCATATGGGGCTGTACCTGATGACTGTTCAGAAGCTGTGGCTTGTGCAAACAACAGCAGCCAAATTAACAATTAGGATCAGAAATTCCAAATACGTACAACAACTTTGGCCTGCTTGCACTGGCTACCTATATGCTTCTGAGCCCAATTCAGGGTGCTGCTTTTAACCTATAAAGCCCTGCAGGGTCTTGATGGGTCACTGCAATCAAGATCTGACACCTGCCTCCAAGCGCCAGCTCCGAGGGAGGCCCAGCTGGTAGCGGCTAGAAAGAGGGCCTCCTCAGTCATGGAACTAGCTACCCACTGAAGCCCACCTGCTGCCCACTTCATTATCCTTTCGGCACCAAGTTAAGACTATCCTATTTGAAATGGCATGTAATAAACTCAAACTGAGGCATTACGTCAGCTGTTTCATACGTCTAATGTCTCAATCTATTTATTATACGTTTGTACATTTGGTTTTAAATCTGGATTCTACTTTATGTAGAATCGTTTTTATTCTATTTTACTGTTCTTTGTATTTGTATATTACACTCTTTTTAATGTGCTGTTATAAACTGCCCAGAGAGCTTAAGCTATTGGATGGTAAAAAATAAAAAATAGTAATAATAATGATTCAACATCCTCCTCTGCTACCAAGTCCTTTATGTAAGACAGTATAAGTTAGATTTTTAAAAGCTTGGAGTAAAGACAATTTCCTCCAATTCTGACTAGACTAGTATTTTAAAATCTTATTCTGTAATCCTTCTCATTTCTGACTTGCTAAATCTTTTGAGAGAAATGTCCTTATATAAATAAATGCTACTTTGTTCCTTTAGAAATGTTTCTTATGAAACCTATTAGGACCACCAAAATACTATGATCATGCAAATTTCAATCAAGAAATACCACCAGATCTTTATATTATTAACTTTTCTGGATAACACCCTAAGATACTGCCCATAGTAGACCACCACAGACAGGCTAACCTGGGGGCTGGGGCACATCAAATACAGAAAAATCATTTTACTTGGGCAACTGTTGGCCAATGCATTGGAAATTCCCTCCTCCTCCTCCACATTTTTTAACATTTCTGATGAATGGACAGGATGAACACTGAGCTTACTACTACTTTACTTACTACTAAACTACTTTGGGAAACCAACACACACAACATGTATGGGAACATCCCCAGTAATAAGCTATTCTTAACTCATTCTTAGAACCTAAGAAAAGCCATGCAGAATCAGACCACTGGTCCATCTAGTCCACCATTCTGTTCACATGGTGCAGCCCACAGGATCCCTCAAGAAGAACAGCTCCCTCCTGCCCAAGCTCCTCAGCAACTGGTATATGCATGCATATACCGCAATCCCATTTGGTTTTAAACACCCTAAAGAGTTTGGTGTCATCAGAAAAGTTAGCCATTTGATGGTTTACTCCCAATTCTAGGTATACAATTCATGTATAAGTAGGCTGAAAAGCATTGGTCCTAATAAAGAACCCTCTGTAACCTCACGGTTTATATCCTTCCACTGGGAGAAATTTCCATTATTCCCCCTCTCTTTCTGTTATTAACCAGTTATTTAACCAGAATATTCACTTATCTCAACCCCGATGAACTATTCTCCAGTACATCCCACTACACTAAGAGCAACTTTTTCAAATGAATGCATACAGAATTTGGCTCTAAGGCTACCCTGATGTTATGCTGCCTTCACAGCTATTCTGAATGCTTCTCTTCAAAGTCAATTAGAGGACTACTTACTGGGGGAGGCACACTGCAGACAGGGAGATGCTGTCCACTGAAAACCACAGAACACCCAGGCACCTGCTGCGTGTTGCAGGCTGGCATGTGCTGACCCGTGCAAAGAGGAATCCCATGTGGTGCCACGGTGGTCACGGTGTATGAAACTGGGACTGGGCCTTGGTGGATCTGCAGAGAACATTAGGAGCTTTCAAGCAGGTCAGTACAAAACAAATAAGAAAGGGCTTTCAAATTAAAAGATATGAAAACCCTGCAGATGAAGATGTTCTGGTTTTGCACAAATAAACAGCACAGGCCACAGCTAGCATGCTAGTCAAATTCACCAGTCCACTATTATCAACTCACTAGCTACTGGCCTGCAAATAATTGTGGATTGAGTCAAGTGAAAGCATTGGCAGAAGCAAAGGGTCTTTGTCCCCAGCCTTAAGGGAGTTAGAGACATCCCCCACACACTTTCTGTAAATCTCCTATCTATCTATTTATTTTATTTAAATTTTTTCTATGCTGTCCCATTACTAAGTCTCTGGACGGCTTACAATGAATTAAACTATATGGCTAGCTTCGCCTACTGACTGCATATTGAAATGTGGGCAAAAATTGTGCTGGTCTCTGAAGGAGCCTCAATGGCACAACAGCAACCTAAATCAACTACATTTACTACAGGGATGAGATGCTTCCATGGTGCTATGTAATGCTTTTAGGGGAAATGAGAGATCTGTAGAAGAAATGTTGTTCACTCTGTTCTGAGAATGAACTAATACTTTAAATATCAATAATATATAAGACTTGTGACTGTTGGGTAATGAGAGAACCTTTAATTTACACGCCATGCCTTGGTGGGAGTGATGCATCACAGGGTGCTGCTTCAGCAGGAATTTCCCAGCCCGCCAACTGGGTAGGTTCCTAGTTTTATATGGATACTGGTGAGAGCAGAACCACTGAACCAGCTGAACCAACAAGACTAAATGCAAAGTTTGCTACTGTTTTAGTAAGTATTTTACATTTTCATATGCAATTTTACTATTTGTTATTTCATAGTTGAAGTTTTTAGTTATGATTTGGGAATTATATGCAGGATGATTCAGAGCAACAGGTGATATAGCACTGACAGGGCAAAATATCGCCACAGGAGCAGGAGGGACTGTTGACTTTTTACTACCTCTCCTTCTGGTCAATCTACAAACTGGGGTAATTTGGAGAGTGGTCTGAGCTATCCACAATCCCTGCCACTGCTTCTTTGTAATGGCCAGGTCAACTTGTAATAAAACAGCAATAATCTATTATCTGGTCAGGGGTGAGAGGTTCCACCTAGCTCACCTCACTGAGATGTGACTGGGAGAAGACAGTGGTCCTTTATGGGCTCAGGCCCTCCAAGCTGCCTACTGTGTTTTGGAGCAAGGGAAAATGGGTGAGGGCGGGCAGTGTGGCTTAATCTGCACAAGCACCATCCATTTGACTGCTTATGCTGTTAAGGAGCTGAACTACAAGGAACGTATATACTTGAGGTTGTGGTCTAGGGATGGATTGGAAATTCTGCTTGGTATATAGACCACCTCATTGCTGAGCAGAATCTCTGGCCAAACTCATGAAGCTCATCTTGGAACTGGTATTAGATTCCCCAAAGCTCTTAATGCCAGGGGCTTTCACTGGTGCTTTCAAGTTCAGCTTGCCAAGGCTAGGATCACAGCCCTTTCCTTGTGACCCTGCAGAGATGATGGACCTATTAAACAGGTCCAGCCCTGAAAGCTGATGGATCCAACAGGTTTCTAGTCAGTCCTAGGAAGTTCTTTGGCCGGTTCTGCCAGTGATCTGTGAGTTTGTAGCCACAAAACAGAACTGGGAGTTGACTAGGGCCTTAGGTATGATTGCTCCTAAGCACCCTCTCCAAACTGCTTATAGAACTCCCTAGTATACAGAGGAACTGTGCAATACAAAGCAGGATGGACAATGACTGGAGCACCAGTGGTGGAAATCTGAATTCATCTATAGCAGAACACTTGCTAGAGAGCATCTCTGCTCCTGTGAGGTGCATCCAAACCAAATTTCTTCTCTGCTCATATCACAACTGAAAATTCACAACTAGCAGAGCTGCTTAAGATCTTAGGGAATTTGTTCAAGTTCCAGTGCTTCCTAATCTATCTTTAGTACATCAATTGCTTGCTGTGATGCTTATAACAAGCATTTTGTAAACATAATTTCTCAGATAAGAACAGAACTTGATGTACTTGTTGAGGTAGAGATAGGTAGAGGTATTATTAACTTGTGGAGGTAGAGATCTTATTTTTAATAATGACAATACTTTCTGCAATATCTTAACACAGTGGTTTTCAACCACCGGTCTGTAGACTGGTGCCAGTCCGTGGGGGGGGGGGCACATCCCACCTGCCACAGACCGGTGCAGGCACTGCCTGTGCTCCACCACCTCTTCCTCAGTTGGCACTGCTTTTGTGGGGGTGCATCAGTGCTGCGGGGGGTGGGGGGGCAGGAAGGGGAGAGACAGCTTAGTGGGAGCCAACTGGGACCCATGTTGTGCCAATTTCAATATTTTGTTCTTTTATTTTATTTATTAATTAAAACATTTTTATGCCGCCCATTCGCCGAAGCCGAAATATTGACATTTCTCGTTGCTTGGTTTCTGGTAGTTTAGGAGAAATTTTTTTTGGGGGGAGGGGCAGGATTGTGTTTGGAAACTAATACACAGAATACTGTATTATGTGTATGGTGCTTTTTGTTTCTGCCTCAGCCATCCCTTAGGTGGTTTTCCTGTTTTCACCAGTCCCCAGCTCTGGAAAGGTTGAAAACCACTGCCCTAACATATATAAGCAATGCTACAAATCTTTTCCTTTTCTAAAATACAACTTACTTGTGTGTGTGTGTGTGTATGGTATTGTTTTTGTACTACACAATAAAAATATATTAAAAGGATGGGGAATTGAAAAACTGTGCACTAAGTAAGACACATTAATATGCCATGGGAAATCCTTTGACACCTGAATTATTTATTTTCACATATCTATAGGCCACCTATAACCACTGAATTATGAGGCACTACTCTGGCTTTGCCTCCATCAAATCAGACTCCACTGAGGACAGGTAATTCTGCCACATCTCTGCACCAGGTATGACTCAGTTTTTCAGTGACTCTCAGGGTAGACACGCCAGTTAGCCAGTCTCTGTGGCAACACACCCAAACTGCTGGCTCGAACAGAATCACATGAGATGCTCCTCCTAGGAAAGTCACAGAGTTCTCTTTTTCTTATGCTTTCAAAAATATGCCTTTTGGGGATGTACAAGAGTGCCCTCTAGCCTGTACCTGAGTAACAGAAGTTTGGAAAAAATGGCTCTCTGTCATACCTGTTCATGAATGTCAACCATCACTGCATTCTGCTGTGGTGGATGAGCAGCCGGGTGCAACATACGGGGAGACACATTCGGTGGGTGGAAGGCTCTGGGTTCTTCTATTGCTTGTTGCTGTCCATACAGAAGATGGTAATTTTCATCTTGGCTGATGGAATTGTGTCGCGACAATCGATCTCTTCTTGTTCGCTGGCGTCTAACAGGAGGGCTGCAAATAATCATATTAGGCAGGGTTGGGTTTTGTTCCTTAATTTTTCTTTTTTAACACCCAACAACTTTATATTTCAGATTGATTAAATGCCTGCAATCAGAATGAGCTAAAATGTCATTTTTTATGGTGCAGGTAGGAGTCTGGAAAAACAGAAACAGCAGGTGCTCAGGAAGAAATACCACCTGGCAGCAGTAGCCAAGGATGGATTAAGTGGGCATCTGTAGTCTCTGCATACATAGCAGTGCAGGGACTACCATAAAGGACCTTCCTTCTCCAATTACTGAGAAGCAGTGAAGGTCAAGATGAACTTCACACATGGGGGACAGAGATCAGACAGCTGGTTCTCCCTGTGATGAGTCTGCCAGCTGGCATGCTTCTAAATCACTATCACGTGAGAGTGGCCAAGTTTCTTGCAGGTTATGAATTCTAACAGAACTTGTGTTTTCTGGAGGGATTGGATTGATGGAAGGGAAACATGTGAGATAAATGTATCTATTGGCAGGTGAGAAGAGTTCCATGCCTTCCCAAATAACTACTTAAGGTACAATCCTGTGCATGTTTAGACAGCAGAGAAAGGTCCTGCAACTCCCAGCATTCCCCTGCCATGTTAATTAGCACTGCACCCTTAATTAACTAAAGATAACCAATTTAACTAGTCAGAAAAATATGTCAAAAACTAATGGCTTGGCAAGTGTGTCACTACAGATCCTCAGTTCAGAGGACCAGCTTATCGGACCATCTGGGAAGACTTGCCTCCTTCTGTTGCGTGCAGGTGTGTTGCAGCGTTCCCCTGAGAAATGATGTTGGCTTGATCGAGCTGAAGGAGGCTGCCTATTCGATGTCATCTCCCATGGTCGCATTGGCGGTGCTGGTGCTGCTATGTAGTCGAAGACGGAGTGTGAAAGGCGCTGTCTCTTGGGACTTGGGCTATCTTCACTCTGATGTGAAATGAAGCCACAGGTGAGAGGTGCCTCAGAAAAACGTTAATGCTACCATTTCAGAAAGCAAGATATTAATAAACAGGTTAACCAGATATTTCTAAGTAATACATCAAATATTAAACGCCTACTTCCTCCACTATTTCAGCATTGCAAATTGTTGCCCTTCTCTTCTGCATTCTTTTCTCCCATGGATTCTTGCAAGGTATGCAAAGTATTATTTATGCAGAAATCTGTTTACAGAAGACTGAGGGAACATAACATTTGAAACTTGTAGATCAATTTTTGAAGTATCCTTTCATAAGCATATATTTCATGCCAATGAGCTCAGGTGTGTGAATTATTATGAGGAAGCTGAAGCCAGGTGTTCCAACCAAACATGAGCACTCACAACCTAGCTAGACCACCTAAGTCTTGCTCTGCAAAGTTAGCTTCAGTATATTCCCTTACATATTATTTGCTCATTCATTACTGCAGTACTTACAGGTTTTGGAAAGTACATAGCAAATTAAGTTTTCATTCATTGTAAGAGGTGATCTTGGACAAGCCAGTGCAGTTTCAGTTCAGATGCACTCCAAGATCGTCTCTTTCTGCCTCTCACCTGGCTTTGCGTAAGCTAAAATTGGAGTTTAATATCCACTGGAAAAGCAGCAGCTGTGCTCCAGAGGTGAGGCCCTACCACCAATGGCTACTTCACAGAGGACCCAAGACAGTGGCCGAAAGGGCATTGCCTATTTGGAGCCTGTTCAGGTACTGAGCTTTGGTGGGGGAAGAGAATAGTCTCACAGCAGTTGCAATTGATGAACTTAAGAGGTGTAGCAACCGGTTTTAGTGTTTTTTTTAATTGTTTTTCTTATTCACGTTTTCATTCTGTTTCTGGGTAACTTTGGGAAGCAAGGGAGTGCCCCCATTACTGTGGTCATGGGTACGGGGAGGTATGGCACTGGGGGTCAACAGACCAGCAGAGAAGAAGGTCTAGATGTCTTACAGCTATCTCCTCTTTTGATTCTTCCCCCAACCAGGTGATTTATGGCACCATTACCAGCTTGTGCTTGGGTCTGGTGCTGGTGCTGCTGAATGCCAAGCTGGCCCAAAATAAAACCTCCCTTATGCATGACTTGATTGTGGATGAGGGGGCTGACCTGGCTTACATCACAGAGACCTGGGTGGATGAGCTGGGAAGGGTCACTCTCTCTCAGCTGTGGCCCTGAGTATTTGGTACAGCACCAGCATCAATTCAAAGGCAGGGAGGGGGTGACCTTGGTCTGTAAGAATATGATCTCCCTCTCTAGGCTTCCTGCTCACTCAAGGATGGATTTTGAGTGTTATACCTTGTGCTGGGTGATCGAGACAGTTAAGGATTCCCACCTAACCTGCTGCCCAGCAGGTTCCATGCCTGAGCTGAAGGAGGTGATCTTGGACCTGGTGTTAAGGTCCTGCCAGAATGATGGTTCTGGGGGATTTAACCTCCATGTTGAGGTTGCTTTGTTTGAGCTGGCTCAGGACTTCATGGCTGCCATGACAACCATGGGGCTGCATCAACATGCTATTGGCCCAGCACACGTAAGGACACACTCTTGATCTGGTTTTCTCAACTGGGCAAGGAAGTGGTGATCTGGAAATGGGGGAATCAACATCAACTCCCTTGTCATGGGCAGATTCCTCTGTCCAGTTCTGGGTACCTCAGTTTTAAAAAATACAGAAAAGCTGAAGAGGGTCCAGAGGAGAGCAACAAGGGTGATCCAGGGTCTGGAAGCAAAACCGTATGAGAGATCAAAAGAACGGAGGAGTGATATGACAGCACTCTACAAGTATCTGAAAGGACAAGTTCTCTTCCTGATCATCCTAGAGTGCGGGACAGGGAATAATGGACTTATTCCAAGTCCAATAATGGACTTATACCAAGCCAAATTCCAGCTTGTTTCTTCACAACCTTACAGTACAGATGTACCAGTGGGATACTTATTTTTATTTATTTATTTTTTTATTTATTAAAACATTTTTATGCCGCCCCATTCGCCGAAGCCTCGGGGCGGCTTACAACAAGCCCTTGTCATATCAATTTGGTGGCAGTTCATATACCAGGAGACAATTTCCTGGCAGACAACCAATTGCTTACATGACTATTTCTAAGATGGTAAAGTTAGGATATGATGGTATGGTTCACTTCACACCTAAAAGACCACTCCTTCAAATCAGAGGGCTGTTTTTAAAGCCTAACAATCTAAAAGTAAATGTCATGAAAGAGATAGGTCATGACATAGCTTTTCCTATGTAATTATTCTCCATAAAAAGGCATTTTCTCAAAGCTACGTATCAATGAAGCAGCAAGAGCTTAAAGATTATATATAGCCCAAACCTATGCTCACTTAACCTTAAGTTTAGTGGGATTTATGCCTAGAAAAGCCCACAGAATTTGCAGCCTCTAACATTTACTGTATAAGCACTGATGGAAAATTCTCTGTGAGAAGAGATCCCCATATAAAAGTTTGGTAAATTACCATATATCAGAAAATGGGCACACAGCTTCCCTTGGAAGTGAGGGACTCAAGTCAGTCTGTATGGATTGTTCCACCTCAAAAATTAACATGAGGCTTAACCATTAGTCCCACTATGTACTTGTATTTTTTTACAGTTTAACCCAGAATTTAAAGAGTCAGTCTCACACAGAGAGATACTTGAAACAGAATGGACTGGATCTCTCAAATGAACTGATGAAAAGCATAAAAAACAAAACAAAGTTGAAAAATGCAAATGACTGCATTATTATTTTAATGTGTGCTACTACCTCTTGCTGAGGGCACTGACGTATTTCAGAAAGCCAGTTTCTCACAATGTATCAGATTATTCATATCAATGCTTATACTCACTAATCATATTTCTTTGGAATTGAAACTAATTGAAACAGCACATAACCACTTTTAGACAAAACATAGAGCACAATTTAAGCTGAATTTAACCAATTTCAAATTCCATGAATTTAAGTGAGGGATATAAGCATATGCTTAGATCATATCCATCCAGGTCAATTGGTGAAACTGGTTCAAGCTAGTTTGTGATAGTTTTGTTTTTCATATATGTGAGGAACAGAATTCTCATCAGCACAGAAACAACATTAGTAATTCCAGATGCAAAATTCCAATGACCAGTTTGTTTAATAATTTCCTTTCATACTAATGTACAAAACACGCAACCACATCTGGATGAACCAACATGCTAGAGATGCTTCTGATTTTTGGGAATAGCCATTTCAGTGTCCTTCCAACTAAATTACAATTGAGGAGAGAGACTGAATGAATAGCTGTTAGATGCAAATTGCGACATAAAAACAATCAATCAAGTCTATAAAATACAGAACTAGTTTACATTCTTTTTTAAACAATCAGTAATACTCATCAGAAAGTGTAGTTAAAATGCATTTATTTTTAGTTAGTCAGGAGTTCTCCAATACTTCTGGGAAAAGGAAGAAAAATGTTGATCGTTTCAGGCACAATGAAAACGAGTAAACCTCTTGACACATCCCAAAACTTGGGGAAAAAAAGTCAATTTCTCAATTTGAACCCCCAGTTCAGGGCTAAATTTTGAAGCAAACATTCTATTGATAAAGTTTCAGACATAGCACAAAAAGAAGAATGTTGTGTTCATGTGCTTCTGCTTTTGGTAAAGATTTTTGCTTTGTAGCAAAGTCTATTTTGATGTATGTTACAAACTAACTATTAAAAAGCCCACACCAAAACACATATATGATCTATATTTTATACAGCTGCAACTCCCCTCCTCCTGGGGCACCAACTTACTGCGTGGTTACTTAAAAGGTCAAGCAATTCAACAATACTGAAACTCAGCAGCTTCGATAACAGCCCTGGTTGTGTTTCCTCCGTCCCCAACTAGAATGCAAGTTAAGCCTTACATGTATTGAATATTTCAAGTAGCACCAAGTCTTAATAAATCATAAGCCAAAACTCTTCACTTTCAGTGCATATTTCCAGCCGAGTACAGAATACATTCGGCATGGGTTCCTAGTCACTGGAAGTCTATGGGGGCACTGCCCTCACTTTCTATCAAGAAATGATTAAATTTATTACCTAGTTTTTAGAAAAACTAACAGGAAAGCATTGGCTTTCTTAAAGAATTTATTACCTTGGGGTAGTGGGATCTATTCTCAGTTTCTTAATAGCACATGTAATCGAGGGTATACCTGAGATGAAAGGATTGTTTGACTAATATAAGCAATAGTACATCTTTTTAAGAGGAGGTGTGATTCTTAGATTTATAAAGGCACTTCTTTAAAACATCTGATGATTCAACAATGACTGGCCACTCAGACTGAGTTATAGTTCTACATTCAGATAAAGAATTATTTCCACACTCAAGTTAATCAGTGTATCTTCCCCATCTGAAAATTGAGCCGTCAGTTTCCCCAATCAGATAAGAAGGTTCTTTTCCCTTTCCTACTGAAATTATGCTAATACTGGGATATTTTAAACTGTAACATCACAGTTGCAACAGAAGAATCTGAACATTGAGGCAGTTTTCAAACTGGGAAGCTGTCACAAGAAATGTGAAGTTATAAAGTTTGAACAGCATTTTTGAAGCAGAGAAGGAGGCATCTGTTCACCATGAAGCAGCATCAAAACATCTTCATAGGCTCCCTTGGGCTTCAAGGAAAGCTGATTGTAATAAACTCATAGCATTGATTAAGTATGTCTCTATGGCACAAAAACCCATTAGGAAAAGGAGTTCAAGAGGTGGAAGAAAAACTTACTGGATTTGCAAATTACAGAAAATTGGATGGAGTAGCTACTACCTTAGCCAGAAACAAAAATCAAAATGGTTTTTAAAATGTGACTCACAGAGGTCACTTTTAAACCAATGTCTAACTTTCAGCTTCTTATGAAAGACATAAAGCTAGTTCTAAACAATTTGCATATGCTTCAGCTTTCTTGTGGGGCTACTCATGTTTCCCAAATTTTACAATCAAATTTTATTTTTCTGGTTCA